CTAATAAAAAAACTTTGAGACAGATTTTTTTTTTATAGCATTACATAAGAATTTCTTATACTTTATGATAGTCCAAAGACATTTTCAGATTACAGAACAACGTTGGATGAAATTGTCCAATCTACCATGTTTTTTTGTTTGTCAGTATATAGTAGTGTAATAATAATAATAAAATAAATATTGATCCCAAATCTCTATCAGTGCTGATATATTTACATAATCTATTTAAATACATAAAGAATAATAATAATAATAAAAAATACTACATGCATTTAATATCTAGATCAAGCATGTCAAACGTGCGGCCCATAACAATTATATTTGCGGCCCAGGGACAGACTGGCCTACCAGGAAATTTCCCAGTAGGCCGTCTGGCCTAGGGCTGCTTTGTGCTGTGGCCCTCCACATGCTCCTGCGACCAGCCGGCGGCTGCAAGACTGCAAAACATTCTTAAACGATGGCCGTTGGATATGCGCATAAATGGAATCATATCAGGTGGCTGCGCGGCAGCGCTACAGTGTGCAGAGGAGCTGGCTGTACGCAGAGCAGGCCAGCCACTATCCCTTCCCTGCTGCTTGCAGTGTCAGAGGAGCCTGGGGCCTGCTTGAGCAGAGAAGATCGTGCAGGGTTGGATTGGAAGACGGCTTAAAGTAGGGAAAAAGGGGGAGCCTACCTGTAGTGTATTAAATTAAGTGGGTCGGGGGGGCAGTGTATTAAATTGGGGGGAGGAAGGGCAGTGTATTTAATTGGGGGAGGGAGGTGGGGCAGTGTATTTGAGTGAGGAGGGATGTGTATTAAATTGGGGGAAGGAGCAATACACAAAGAACTGCAATGTTCTGTGTGTTCTGACACCTTTCTATTATGACCAGCATTAGGTTTTTCAGCAATTTTAGTTAGAGTGGATCTTCTGTATGAGCAGACCAGATGGGCTACCCTTTACTCCCCACATGTATCCATGAGCCTAACTTTGGTTTACTGGTAATCTTCCTTGCACCACTTTTGGCAGGTACTAACCACTGCATACAATGCCCCACAAGACATGCCCTTTAGGAGATGCTCTGATCCAGTCATCTAGCCATCACTATTTGGCCCTTGTCAAAGTCACTCAGATCTTTCCACTTGCCCATTTTATCTGTATTCAACACATACAATTCAAGAATTGACTGTTCACTTGCTGCCCAATATATCTCACCCCTTGACAGGTGCTATTTTAACGATATAATCAATGTTATTCACTTCACCTGTCAGTGGTTTTATTGGTGTGGCTGATCAGTGTAGGTCACAGCTTTGTTAAGCCATTGCTGTTAATCTTCCTGCATGCATGAAATCTTTCTGTCAGCCATTGCATTTTCGGACAACAAGAGGTTCACTCAATTAGACACCAAGAGCACATATCCTCGTTTCCTGAAGTGTCCATGTCTACTCGGGGACCACTCTATGAGCAGCTTCTATATTCCTGTACTGGCAAGACACTGTCGCTGCTACAACAAACAGACGTAAAAAAGAAGCCGGAACATTCAAGACAAACAATGCTAAAATTCAACAAGCACAGGGAGGGTGGGAAAGACTCATTGTGGATCAAGGGGCTGTTCTGTGACCGGAGGAACAAAAAGTGTAATCCCCACCTTCCAGTGAATGTTATTTACAAACATTCCCACTAACTCCCAAACCCATTTATTAATATACATTTAATCCCTTTAATAAAACCCAGCTTTAGAAAATAATCTGCTGGCATAGCCCAGCAGTCATGAACCCATTCCCGATTGGTCCAAGACTGTTCTTGCAATATATTTCCGGTTTGTCTTTTGGGTCTCTGGATTATAGAACTACAATACCGTGATGAAGGTTTTCGCAACGCTGGTAGATTTGTCAGAGAGAGTTTTTTTTATAGATTTACTTACACGGGAACAGATGTTTTGTGCCTTTATCACTGTAAGGTATCTTTATTACATTACAGTACATGGCAATATTTCCACAATAAAATGTCACGCCACTATAATGTCATGTCACGTTAAGATTTCTCAAAACACAATAAATGGATTACAAGTGGGTGCACCAGATGGAGTCGTGAATACAATGACTTGAGCAACTTTACTTTTTTTTCTGGAAAAATACATTTCATAACATGTTCGCCTTTTCTCTGATTATTAAAAAAAATAGATACCATCAAGTGATTCATAGAATTTTACAGAGTAAAAAACACAATAAAAACATCCAAAAATCACAAACTTATCAATACAATAGCA